TATATCCATAAGAAAAGTAATTCTGAAGCAAGTATATATAAAGCAAACAGTCACAACTCTTTTTATTGGAGGAACTTGAAAAAATATATATATCTATGAACTTTTTGTGTCCATAGATATATCACCTCAAATAGACTAATTAAACTCCCTCTATATGGCCTCAGCCTAATGAATATTACCCTGATAAAAAAACAAAAAACAAACTCATATACGGGTAGGGGATGCAAAATCACTTACAGGCAATCTTCATCACTCTCTTCTCCTAATGGTTATTTAAATCATCATGTATACGACGAGCAAGGGAAGCACGGTGGAGTAATGAATTGAGGAATCGGAGTTCGAATTCCAGTCGAATCCATTACATTCACTTACGTGCTAATACCCTTTTGAAAGGCATGAATCCTTTCTTTCTCCCCCAGCTATGGGTAAATAGCAGGACAGCCTTGGATGGCAGAAAGAAATGAAAACCTATTGCGGAAAAAATATATTTCGATACATGATCGCCTAAACGTGTATACGAGCGAACTTGCCTCTGACCGGTACGATATTTCGGACCCAAATAGGAGTATATATATATATATAACTTTTTTTTTGGGGGGGGGAAGAGGGTTGGCATTATCAACCGGATAATCAGAAATTGGGAGCTTCAAGTAACTTCCAAGGAGGCTAACCTATCAGTAGGTGTATAATATCGGGTCTCTTGCACGGCCATTTCTTGAATACTTTCTGAAACGTACAGTAGTCTCCGGAGGGGCATCACGATGCCATGATGATGGGTACAGTTAGGGGAGTATCTCCGGGCGAGTAGACCCAGATTATTTATCAGTGCATCAGCAATCTGTTTCACGGCCTACTAGTCATCCACTAATATATATATATCTTCATGCAAATATGTTTCACGTCCTGGGTAAGACGATATACTACATCCATCAGCAAGCCTCTGATCAGAACGTTCTGAGGAGCGTGAAACCACCTCTTAATTGCTGATGCTCCCAGGGCCACCCTGACTCGGATTGGTAGCACCTGTTAGGGTCCCAAATGTGGGCAAATAGTTAACCCCTTAACCTGAGTAAAAACACTATGAAAGTCTAAAAATAGATTTTAATACCAGAAACACTTTGTAAAAAAATTATTACAAGCAATAAATTTTTGAAGTAAAAAAAAAATCTAAAAAACAGTAAAAAAATTCAACCAAAATAAATTTTTGAAGTAAAAAATCTATTTTACTAGCAATAAATTTTGAAGGAAAAAAATCTATTACAAAAAAAAATAAATTTTTTTTTACAAGCAATAAAAAATAAAAAAATATTACAAGCAATAAATTTTTGAAATATATTAGCAACAATGTTTTTTTTAAAAAAAAATATTACTAGCGATACATTTTTGAAGGAAAAATATTACCAGAAGCAGATTTTTGACAAAACAAAATATTACCAGCAATAAAAATTTTGTCAGCATTAAATGACCCATTGAGGTTGATGTGCCGTAAAACAAACCAAACCAAACCTAATATGTTTCATTGAATGATATAGACATATGTATTTTTATTTTTATAATAATCCTTTTCAGTTTTCTAATCAGCTTCTTGATTTTAAGATGAATTTCAACAAGGAAATTGCCGTAGTTTTTGTATACCCAAGTTACTTTCGATCTCCTCCAAGCTTATTCTCAGGGATGAATTACAAAGTCAAACTTATTGGAACTCTGATCGTTGTGATTTAAAAAACGCGAGAAGGCGCTCTGTTATAGTTATTTTAAAATTTTTAAGTTTAGCTGTAGTTAGGAATTTCTTTTGCAAAACGCCGTACTCGTCATGGAGTTTATGGGACTTGAAAACTCTGGTCTCATACTCATCTGGGATGTACGTGAGTTCAAGCCATTAGCTCCCTACTACTCATGGAGTCAATGGGACTTGAGAACTGTGACCTCATACCCATCAGTGATTGTAAGTGAATTAAGAGCAGTAACCTCATAATGCTCGTGGAGTTTAGAGGACTTGAGGACTAATACTCCTTATGGCGTGTACGTGAATTGAGACCTGTAGCCCCATACTCCACATGAAGTCTATTTGACTCTTGCCTCATAATCAGCAAGGGAGTGTACGCGAATTTAAACCTTCGCATGCAGTCTGTGTAACTTGAAAGCTGTGGCCTCATTCCCATGAGGGAGTGTACGTTAATTAAGCCCTGTGTCCCAATACTCCTCATGGCGTCCATGGGAGTTGAGAACTCTGGGCTTATATCCATCAAGTAGTGTAGGTGCAATACAAGGTAGTCAACCAGAAATTAGTATAAATGCAAAATAACATTAAATGTTTGTTAAATGCACTACAAGACGCTGTTGCTACACACTTGTTGGTTGCTTACTTTTGATATAGATTTACCATGGGTTCAGTTCTAGAACCAACATTTAGTAAATTCTACATGGCTAACCTTGAAAATAAGATATTTAACACCAGCAAAAACCTTTCATCTACCTAAGATGTGTAGATCATATTCTTATCTTAATTAAAAATAGAGAACATGAACTACAAGAAGACTTTAAAAAAATCTCCGATCTAACTTTACTTATGAACTTAACAATTATAATAAAATCGCATCTCTTCATAGACACTTATAATTATACAATTGCTACCTCTCCATATAAAAAACAACTAACATAAACACGTGCTTTCTAAGCTACAAAAAGTGAATTTCCTGACTACTACAAAATAGTAAAAACTAAGGTGCCTACCTTGTTTTACCGCATATCAACCTCAATGGGTTATTTAATGCCGACAACTTTTTTCCTGGTAATATTTTGTTTTGTCAAAAAAATCTGTTTCTGGTAATATTTTTTTTCCTCAGAAATGCATAGCTGGTAATTTTATTTACAAAAACGTATTGCTGGTAATATTTTTTTTTCAAACATTTATTTCTTGTAATATATATTTTTAAAACAATATTTCTAATATAAAAGCTATTTTTACACTTATAATGCTTTTTACCTCAGTTTCGGTGTTAACTATTTGCCCATAGTTGGGACCCTAACAGGTGCTACCACCCTGAGTCAGGTTGGACCTGGAAACACCAGCAATTAAGAGGTGGTTCCATGCTCCTCAAAACCACCTGATCAGAGGCCTTCCTGTTGGACGTAGTTTATTGTCTTACCCTGGACGCGGACGTAGTTTATCGTCATACCCAGGACGACCTACCTTGGTGAATTTCATCCTAACATCAGGAAACTGATTAGAAAACTAGAAAGAATTATTATAAAAGTAAATACTCACAATATATACTCCTATATTATTCAATGATACATATATATATATATATATATATATATATATATATATATGTATATATATATATATATATATATAGAGAGAGAGAGGGAGATAATATTAGAGGTAAATATACATACGTATGCAAAATATATAAATACCTATACATGTATATTTTTAGAATAAAAAATTCAAGAGGAAGAATCCAGGTAGAACTCAATGTCCAGGACAGAGTAAGGATATAATAAAAAGGCTTAAAATATTCCATGGTCATAATTTATTCCATTGGAATCGTAAATACGATCCAATTCATCAGACCTACAAATTCAAAAGGAAAACTGAAAAAAAAACAATATATATATATATATATATATATATATATATATATATATATATATATATATATAGTTTATTTTATTTTATATTTAACGTAGTATAAATACTTGTATCTATAAAATAACAACGTTAAACATAAAATATGTCTTTAATAAATAAATTGTCGGACCTTGTCCATTTCTTAATATATATATATATATATATATATATATATATATATATATTCTAATGTCTGGTTGTCAGCAGAAGGAACAGTCAAAGATGCGATCACGAACTGAAGACACCAAACTCAACCAAGTACGAAAATTTAAATATCTTGAAAGTGTTTTAACAGAGGGCAGAATATGTGACGCCGAAGTCCGAAGGCAAGATTCGGATAGCGAAAGATGCCCTCCAAAAGCTAAGCAAAATATTAAGAAAGAAGAAAATGTCGTTAGAAACAAAGAAAAGGTCGCTGAATGATTATGTAATAACGATGCTCCTACATGACAGTAAATGCTTGAAAATCTCATCATATATGAAGTTGAGACTTGAGGCAAAAGGAATCTGGTACTACCGAAAGATGCTGAGAATACCATAGATTGAAAACGTGTGTAAGGAGTAAGTTTTAATGGGAAATGGAAACAAAAGTATGCGTCTACTTAGAATGAGAAAGAGACAAGTGAAATTACTAGAGTGTATAATGAGGAAAGAACGCTTAGATAATTTGAAACTCGCAGGTCATTATGAAGGTAAGAGAAACAGATGTAAACTGCGAGTAACTTGCGTAACTAGCTTGTGTAAATGGTTAACAGAACAGTGGTTAAAAGGGATAGGAAAACGACAAGACTTACTAAGAGCATCAAAGGACAGGAAATTGTGGAGAGCTATGATCGCTCAAAAACTAAAGCGACCGGGCACAAAGATGAAAAAACTTCGTCATTGTTTCTTTGATTTTTTTTTTCTTCTAAATTTGTTTTATTCTTTAGTAAAATGAAAACTAAGGAAAGAAGAAAGTCAAAAATAACTTCGAGGATTCCGCTCGGCGCCATTTTGGTGTTGACAGAAGCTCATACTAGGATTTATGGTTGAAAACATCCGACAGTAATGTTTCTTTTAGTTTTAGTAGGGCTTTACAAGCAGCCATTTTGGTTGAAAGCGTGCTGGCTCCATCTCTTGGCATTTTTGTGGCTGCATGTCATGGAATACGCGACTTTACGAATGAAACCGTCGACAAGCAGACAAAGACGAAACGGTCGTCAAGCTATTAAATGAAGCAGCCAGGATGCTTAAGTAAATAGAAAGTGACACCGAGCTAATTGGAAAAGAATATTCAAACGTTTAAAAATGAGAAAATACAAAAAATAGTCAAGAAAAAAGGGGGAGATATTTACATAAATAAAGAATGAGTTTGAATTGAATTTTAACAAACGGAAACATAATAGACACCGAAAAGTAAAAAAGAAAGTTGACAATTTAAGGAAGGAACAAAGGTGCATGAAAAAGAAAGGAGAGGGACAGGGAAAGTCTTTAACAAAATAAAAAGAAGAGTGAAAGAAAGAAAGAAAGAAAGAAAGAAAGAAAGAAAGAAAGAAAGAAAGAGAGAAAGAAAGAGAGAAAGAAAGAACGAAAGAAAGAAAGAAAGGAAGAAAGAAAGAATAAATGAATAGTGCACTATTAAAGAAAGAACGTCATGAGAAAAGGAAAGAAAGAAAAAAACGATTGAATGAAAAGAAAGAAAGAAAGAAGGAAAGAAAGAAAGAATAAATGAATGCATAAAAGAAAGGCATGCGAGCTGAAAAAATGTAGAAATATTAAAAGAGTAGGAAGGCAATATAAAAAGGAGACTAAATGGAAGAAAGAAAAGTATAAAAATAAAAAGAAAGAAAGAAACGAATGAATGACAAGAAAGAAAAACGAAAGAAAGAAAGAAAGAAAGAAAGAAAGAAAGAAAGAAATAATATGACTACATAAAAGGTCTGAGAGCTGCAAAAAATTTGAAAAATTAAGAGGACGAAAGAAAAAAGTAAAAATGAATAGTGCACTATTAAAGAAAGAACGTCATGAGAAAAGGAAAGAAAAAAAAAACGATTGAATGAAAAGAAAAAAGAAAGAAAAAAAAGAAAAGAAAGAATAAATGAATGCATAAAAGAAAGGCATGCGAGCTGAAAAAATGTTGAAATATTAAAAGAGTAGGAAGGCAACATAAAAAGGAGACTAAAAGAAAGAAAGGAAGAGAGAAGAGTATAAGAAATAAAAAGGAAAGAAACAAACGAATGAATGACAAGAAAGAAAAAAGAAAGAAAGAAAGAAAGAAAGAGAGAAAGAAACAAAGAAACAAAGAAATAATATGACTACATAAAAGGACTGAGAGCTGCACAAACTTTGAAAAATTAAGAGGACGAAGAAAAAAAGTAAAAATGAATACTGCAGTATTAAAGAAAGAACTTCATGAGAAAACGGAAAGAAAGAAACAAACGATTGAATGAAAAGAAAGAAAGAAAGAAAGAAAGAAAAAAAAGAAAGAAAGAAAGAAAGAATAAATGAGTGCATAAAAGAAAGGAGTGCGATTTGAAAAAAATGTTGAAATATTAAAATAGTAAGAAGGCAAAATAAAAAAGGCTAAAAGAAAGAAGGGAAGAAAGAAGAGTATAAGAAATAAAAAGGAAAGAAACAAACGAATGAATGATAAGAAATTAAGAAAGAAAGAAAGAAAGAAAAAAAGAAAGAAAGAAAGAAAGAAAGAATGAGTACATGAAAGAAGGACTGCGAGCTGCAGAAATTTTTAAAAATTAAAAGCGGACGAACGAAAAAAGTAAAAATGAATATTGCAGCATTAAATAAAGAACTTCATGAGTAAAAAGAAAGAAAGAAACAAACGATTGAATGAAAAGAAAGAAAGAAAGAAAAAAAGAAAGAATGAACAAATGAGTAGACGGAAAAAAGAGGTGAGTGCTGAAGAAGTTTGAAAAATTAAAAGAGGAGGAATGGAAAACATAAAAATGAATACTGAAATGAAAAAGAAAGAAAGAATGAAAGGACAAATGAGTACATAAAAGAAGGATTGAGAGCTGAAAAAATCTTGAAAAATTAAAAAGGAATAAGGAAAAAATAAAAATGAATACTGCAATATTAAATAAAGAACTCCATGAGAAAAGGGGAAGAAAAAAAAAACAAACGAATGATGTGAAAGAATGAATTAAAAAAGAAACACATAGAGAAAAATATATGGTTGAAGAAAAATGAAAGAAACAAAAGAAAAGAGGCAAGGAAAAAAAGAACAAATGAATACATAAAAGAAAGACGAATGAACCGAAAAAGTTTGAAATATTAAAAGAATAAAAATTTTAAAAAAATAAGTAAAAAGAAAAATAGAACTGTGTAAAAGAAAACGAAAGAAACAAACAAGCGATTGATGAGAAAAAAAGAAATAAGTAAGAAAGAAGGATAGAAGGAAAGAAACACACACACAAAGAAAAAGAAAGAAAAGAAAAATATAAGCTTGAAGAAAGAAAAAGAGGAAGAAACAAACGAAGAGAGGCAAAGGAAGAAATGCGAAAGAAAGAAAGAAACAAACAAAGAAAGAAAGAAAGAAAGAAAACGGAAAGAAACTAACGGAATGATATTAATGAACGGAGTAAGAATGGAACGGAGAAACAAAGAAAAACAAAAGAAACAAAAGAAAAATGCACGACAGAAGAAAGAAAAAGGAAAGAAACAAACGAACAGAGGAAAAGAAAGAAAGAAAGAAAGAAAGAAAGAAAGAAAGAAAGAAAGAAAGAAAGAAGGAAAGAATGAAAGAAAAAATAAGTACAAAAAAAAGTGCGGAGAGCTGCAATAATGTTGAAATATTAAAAGAGTGGGAAAGAAAAAAGAAGACTGAAAGAAAGAAAGAAAGAAAGAAAGAAAGAAAGAAAGAAAGAAAGAAAATCATAAGAAAGAGAAAGGAAAGATAAAACGAACGAATATTGTGATAGCACAAAATAACAATAAAAGAAAGAAAAGAAAAATACACGACAGAAGAAAGAAAAAGGAAAGAACAAATGAGTACAAAAAAGAAAATGGCGTGAGCTACAATGTTGAAATATTGAAAGAGTAAGAAGGAAAAAATAAAAAAGAAGACTGAAAGAAAGAAAGAAAGAAAGAAAGAAAGAAAATAATAAGAAAGAAAAATAGGAATGATAAAACGAACGAATGACGTGTTAGCACAAAATAACAATGAAAGAAAGAAAAGAAAAATACACAACCGGAGAAAGAAAACGTAAAGAAACAAACGAACAAAGTCATAAAAAGAAAGAAAAAAAAGAAAAAATGAGTACATAAAAGGAAATGGCGAGAGCTGCAATAATGTTGTAATATTAAAAGAATAGGAAGGAAAAATAAAAAAGAAGACTGAAATATAAAAGAAAGAAAGAAAGAAAGAAAGAACAATATTGTGTATGATGTCTTTTGAGGTCCCCTACCCCGCTATTGAAGCGGACGCGACGACATTCATTAAATGTTAGATAAAATTATGTGGCAACATTTTCAGGGAAATTGACCTGAAGACATTTATGAGTCTCTCTTGAGTTTTTTAATGAGCAGCACTATTCTGTTCTCAGTCTCACGTTATGGAAATAAATTTAATTCAGTGTCAGTTACCGTCGGACAACGGCTCTCTTCCATTCTCTTACATGATGTTTTTTGTTTCTTCTTCATCGAGGGTCGTGTCACCACTTCACGTCGTCCTGGGTATAATGACAAACTTCATCTGGTAACAAGGTATCTAATCGAGAGATTGAAGATTTTGAGGAGCGTGGAACTATCTCTTAATTGTTGTCGTCCCCAGGTTTACCTTAACCGGGGTGGTAGCACACGTTAGCGTACCAACTATGGCCAAATATTGAACCCCATGCAACATAAAAAAATCTAAAAGTACATTTTGATAGTAAAATTACCAGCAATACATTTTATGATCTCCAAAATAGATATCTAAAAAAACATACCTTTCCTCTGAAAGTTTATGTACAAAATATCTGTAATCGAAAGCATAATGCTTGTTTGTTTTGTTTTAAGGCGTATCAATCTCATTGGGTCATTTAATGTCGACAACATTTTTTTTCCTGCTAATATTTTTTGTCAAAAGTCTATTTCCGGTAAAAATTTTTCCTCAAAAAGCTGCTAATATAATTTTAAAAAAATGTGGTAATAGTTTTTTTGTTTTTTTTATTCACAATTTTTTTTCTGGTAATAATATTTTACAAACTACTTCTGGTATTAAAACTTATTTTTACACATTCATAATGCTTTTTACCCCGGTTTCGAGGTTAACTATTTGCCCATAGCTGGGACCCTAACAGGTGCTAGCACCCCGGGTCAGAGTGGACCTGGGAATTAAGAGCAATTAGAGGTGGTTCCACGCTCCTCAAAGCCTCCTGATCAGAAGCCTTGCTGTTGGACATAGTTTATCGTCTTACCCAGGACGCGGATGTAGTTTATCGTCATACCCAGGACGGTCGAAAGCATAAAATTACGTACCAAATATTTAGATGCCGGCGTTAAATAATCCATAGAGTTAGATATGGCGCCAAACGAAATCAAGCAAGCAACCCTAAGAACGCAGGCGATCATGGCTCTCCACACATTTTTGTTCATTATAGTTCCTGATATTTTTTTTGTTACTTCTCTTAAACTCTTTCTCGCCATCGATTTAATCAAACTCACTCTGTTATACATTGTTTCCTCTGCACCTCTTGTCTTCCGATTGCTATGTGAGTATTAGATTTTCCAAGCACGCCACCCCCATTATGTTCTCTAGAAATTTCAACTGCCTCGTTCTGATGTTAAGTATAACTAACCTTTTTGTTTCCATTTTGTCTAAAACATCGTCATTGCTGACATGTCCATGGTATCCTCAGCATTTCTGTTGGTTTAAGTCTTTCATTTTCAGCGGTGCATTATGGGTAGCAAGGTTTATAGTATTATCCTAACGACTACTGGATAGCCGTAAGGTTTATATTTCAACTTATACTAAAGGATTATTTATATTATTCCAAGTGTTATCTTCGTCTTTATTGCCATATTCACAACGTTTCGGTCGTTGTAGTCTCCGACTTTCTTCACCTGATTGGAATTTGGAACCGAACCCTTTATTTTGTCCACGGGGGTAGATTTATCTAGTTCTTCCGGATATCTCAGGTATTTCTCTAACTCAACTCCCCAAGTTTTTTTTGGTTCGCTAGTGCTGTGGCCTGGTATTGAACAAAAAAACTTTCTTTGTCGCCATTTTATATTTTTTTTAATTTTGCGCATGCGCGTTGTTTCTTTTTTTTTATTTTGTCGACTGTACAGTAGAATAGGTTCAGTTCGTCACGTGTAAGAAAAAGTGCACAATGTCGGAATTCACCCCGCTAGAAATTTGGAAGCGACATACTGTATTCTTTGGCATTCTTGCCGGAAGCTTCAATAAGAACATTTCAGAGTGCCTGAGTTCCAATTTGACGAACGTGCAGAGGATTCAGAAAGAGTTGGATGAGTCTAATGATAATTACAAAACTGTTTGTCGTGATAACTGGTGACGGCGAATTTATTTTTCCATTCATCTTTCCAGAGGGCACCAGAGTCAACACGGGGGCCTACATCAAGTGCCTCGCGGAATTAGTGCTGCCCTGAATCAGTTGGTTAACTGGTGGAAGACCTTATCGCTGGCAACAGGACTCTGCACCATGCCGCACAAGCAAGAGAACACAGTCGTAACTGTCAGACAATTTCTCCAACCACATTACGCTTTAACTAACTCCTTAGACTTCAACCGCCTTGATTATTATATGTGCGGCGCAGTTGAGACCAACAAAACTTCTAGTAACATCAAAAATGAACTGAAGACAAGTATTATGGCAGCATGCACAAACTTAAACTAGGACCGCTCAGAAAAGATGCGGAAGATTCTGAAGTTGTCTAGATCACTGGTTAAAGCCAAATGAATAAATTTACTCCTTAGTATTTCAAAAAAAAATTTGTTTGTAATTTTGATAAATATATCTGTTACAATGAGATGACAGTGTCATTTTCATTTTTTGCGTCACTTAGACGACAATTTATTCATCGGTCTCTGGAGAGAATAAACTGAAATAGATAAATTCGGATAAAAAAATCAACACAAATAGCAAAGAGAGTTCATGATAGGAGAAAAAAGAAACTAAAATTATGACAATCGAGAACCGTCGGAGTTTCGCCCTTCATGGCGATAATGATTGCATCAACGTTTTATGTTGTAAAAGTCGACCAGTTAATAATAGATCTGGTTGTATTTGACAAATCGTTGTTTGACATCGCAAGCACAAACCCCCATCCGCAAGAAGAAAATAGCACCTGTTCTTTTCATCTTATCTTTGTTGACTTCAGCTAGACGGACACACGTCTGCTTCTTGGTGCGTCTTGTGTGCGTATGTGTGTGTGTGTGTGCACAGAAAAGAACATCCTTATTCTTATGGCTTTAAGCAAGTCAGTATGAAATGTCTTTAATAAAATGACTCATACAAAGCAAGTTAGAAATAGCAACATTTTCAGATTAAGACAAATAATAATTTTTAAAATGTTCGCTTCTTTCTTCCGACATTCGTTGTCTGTTAAATTGGAAATCGCATTTTCTTTTCTCGGTAAGAAAGTGTCTAATATTGAGGGAAGCAAATTTCTTAATCCTTTTAACCGACTTACTTACAATTACCTCATAATAAAACATGAAAAATAGCAACATTTTACAGTTGTAATTACTAGATGTAACCGTAAGTTCTATGCTAATGGTTTCTTCTTTCCCACTTCTTGATTGTGGGATTCTACTCCGGCTTCATATTTCACAGTCAATCGTTGTTTTGTATCTTTCTATTTTCTATTGTTTTATTGTTCTATCTCTTTAATATTGCCGCCCTGGGTATGACGATAAACTACATCCGCGTCCTGGGTAAGACGATAAACAACATCCGACAGCAAGGCCTCTGATCAGAAGGTCCCAGCTATGGGAAAATAGTTAGCCCCCAAACTGGGGTCAAAACACTATAAAAGTGTAAAAATAGGTTTTAATACCAGAAATATTTGTAAAAATTATTAATCTCCAACTATTCAAATCTAATATCAATCGACGTCTCCAGATGCCTTGATCTATCCCCTATCCTTCTCTTCATCCTTTCCTCTATCACTCCTATTTGCTCTCGATCCAACTCTCTGTAACCCCTTGCGTGCTAATGGCTTCCCGCCTTGCTAGGGCTGAAACGCTTAAAAAAAAATATACATTTTTGGAAAAAGAAATTACCAACGATACATTTTTGAAGAAAAAATATTACCAGCAGTACATTTGAAAAGAAATATTACCAGCAAATAAAAATTTGTCGACATTAAATAACCCATTGAGGTTGATATGCCGTAAAACAAACCAAACCAAACAAAATCATTAATATTGCTTTTTTTTTCTTATATTCACTAACATCCAGTAACCACTTTGCCTGTTACCAGCTTTGTTTTTTTGTTTGTTGTGAAATGCCTATATGCGCCTTTGCATCTCTCAGATACACTTCTGTTAATGAAGCTATTTACCAATGCAACTGTAAGGGCCCAAGGAGCACTCAAGGTAGAAAATTGTGCGTCTTTATTTTTTCGTTATTTTTGTATGGTTAAATTATATGTGACATACTGATGTCAAGCAGGGCAGAGGAAAGCATCGTGTAAACTAGCGAACGAGCTTGTGTAAATGGTTGGCTGAACAAGGAGCAGGAGAGCTATCAAGAAGCAAACAAGTCTCAGAGCTACAAAGCATAGAATATTCTACAGGGATATGATCGTCCATGTCCTGACGCACACAAGAAGAAGAAGAAAAAAGAACAATAAGTACAAGAATTGGAAGAGGAAGAAGAACAAGAAAAAGAGGAAGGAGAAGAGGAAAAAGAACAAGAGCAAGAAGAAAAAGTGGAGGAGGAAGAAGAACAAGAAGAAGTGGAAGAAGAGGAAAAAGAGGAAAAAGAAGAAGAAGAAGAAGGATGAAGAGGAAGAAGAGGAGGAAGACGAGCAAGAAGAAGAAGAGAAAGAAGAGGACAAGGAAGAAGAGCAAGAAGAAGAGGAAGAACAAGAAGAAGAATAAAAGAGGAAAAGGAAGAAGTGCAAGAAGAGGAAGAAGATCAACAAGAAGAAGAATAGGAAGAAGAAGAAGAAGAAGAAGAATAGGAAAAAGAACAAGAATAATAATAATAAGAAGAAGAAGAGGAAGAACAAGAATAAAAGAAGAGAAAGCGGAAGAAGAAGAAGAAGAAGAAGAAGAAGAAGAAGAAGAAGAAGGGGAAAAAGAAGAAGAGAACGAAGAAGAAGAAGAAGAAGAAGAAGAAGAGAAATAATAATAATAATAATAATAATAATTTATATGTCTTTTTCTATATCTACATGATGTGCTAGATATAAATTGCCAGGATCCAGCGTTTCTTAGCTTCTGATTGATATTTCAAACATTTCACGAAATCAATCCATGAAAAAAAGAACCACACTTTATTTTTTTTTTTTAATGCTTCTTTCTTTGGGGAAGCCATTTAGCTGATTAATTCTCAAGAACTTTTCAGAATCATCTATGTATATTCATATGAATAGGTAAAAAAAAATATCATAAGCTAACACTGATATACGTACATTGCTCTGAAATGAATACATCCTAGTTTATTCTTGTTCTCAAGAATGTCCTGTCTCATTTGGAGATGAAAATAAACAAATGCTTCTTTGGTCGTAATTGATAAGTTTAATCAATACTTCCCCCCTCATTATCGACAACGTAATCCCATCTCTTTGGCAAATTATTGATCCCTCGAGCGAAATATTCTTCAGGTTTTGGTGCAAAGAAACACTCAATATTAGTGTTATCCTCTTCACAAGTAATAAATTGTTTCCCTCTAAAAATATTTGACAATGATCTGAAAAGATGATAGTCAGATGGAACAAGGTCAAGAAGATAAGGAGGATGAGGATATTTTCCTCGCTGACTCGAACAATACGTGGCCTTGTATAATCGTGTAAGAACAACATGCCTCTATGATCAAATAATGCTGGATTTTTTTCCCGTACATTTTTGTAAAATTGACGACGATGCGTTTCGTCCAATGTGACATTTTCAAGGCAAAAAACGAAACGAATTTATTGAAACAGAGTATTTATAAACATCAAACAAAATGTCTTTAGCAACTGCAAGAATTTAGAAACGCCATTGTATATTCATATGTTCAACAGAAAAAAAATTGTACCTTGAAAACGTCCACATTGGACGAAACGCGTCAGGTAAAACTACAGTTTTCCTATTGTCGTTTTCTCTAATACATATTGACATTTTATATATATATATATATATATATATATATATATATATATATATATATATATATATATATATATATATAGTTAAGTTTGAAGAATTTGGTAAACTGAATTGGTAAATCCAAGGAGGATGATTGGAAGTGTTACCTGATGATCCAAAATCCCTTAAAAGGATTTTGGTGAAATAAATTATTGTCATGGTACCTTGAAGTGTCTGTTGTTCTTTATATATATATATATATATATATATATATATATATATATATATTAAAAAGAAGAGAGAAACCACAAACGGTTTTGGTTGTAATGTGGATTTAATAAAAAATATTCTGCTTTATTTTCCATAATTTTTCGACACGAGTTTCCGTCATCAGGCGAAGGGTGAAGATTTCCATATGTTATTAAAAATAATTCTTTTTTTTTTTCCTCTATGTTTTTCGATGTTAAATAAACATCAAATTTATTTTTTCAATCCACATTACATCGAAAAACGTTTGCGGTTTCTCTCTTCTTTTTATTATACACACTTTTCTCTCGTTGGAACTACTATAACCTCTTCACTTTATAAAAAAAAAAATTGTAACCTAATATACATATACTTGATGTAAAAATAATTCTACATACTATAAGGGATTCTAATACCTTTAATTGTTCTTAAAAAATGTACTATAATAAAAATTAAAAATTAAAATATTTCAAATCATAGTTAAATAAAAAGTATTCTAACCTAAACACACCCAAAAATCTTTAAATATACAAATAGAAAAAATGCCGTAAGAATTTTTGCCGTTATCAATAAATTTAAAAAAAAATCCAGACGACATGCATTCAACGGATGTCAGATTTCATTGAAAAATACATCCCTACCCCCCTACTAATAAGGGATACAATAATACAGACATAATGAACACCCAGACCCCCCCCTTGACCAGTTGAAGTAGATTTATCTGTAACCTTAGAAACATGAATTATGATTATAGCTGTCTTTAAAACCCAGTAATTTTAAAAGTTACTCAAAAATTCGCTTGAGGATGAAATGGAACTAATGTCTTTAATTTAATTACAAAATTAAATTCGTAGCTTTTAGCTTCCATTTTTGAAACATGGTTAGAACTGTGTAGCGAAAAAAAACATATTTTAAATAAATCAATTTATAATATTAATGCTCTGTAAATTTACATTGACCACTATTTTGTAAAAATAAAAATATCTATAAGAACACCGGATTATATATACTGTTCTTTCTTTATTTATATATTATATATATATATATATATATATATATATATATATATATATATATATATATATATGCCGGCCTGAATGTCCGAGAAATTTTCATAGAAAATATTCGTCCTTTGACAGGATTCGAACCTGCATCCTATACGGAACCGTCATTTACGCTTATTATAAACAGAGCATTTACTTAAATACTTGTATCTATAAAAAGAATGTTAAACATAAAAATGTCTTTTATATATTTATATATATATATATATATATATATATGAGTCGATTAATTTTCTCTTACTACATATTATTATTATTGTTATTATTATTATCTTCATCATCATCATTATTATTAGCATCATCAGCATCATTATTTTTATTATTCATTCACCGTCAAGAAAACTTGGCCACCCCTACATTGTGGCATGAACAAGCTAACGTCAGGCAAAACACTGACCGTCTCAGAAATTGTGTGTCCACCTTAACCCTCCAACACTATTGGCATATTATGATTATCTTCCTCGTCACGCAACGGAAATAAAAGCTTGACCGACGTTCCAAGTCTCGGAATAGATAAACCATATTCTTTTTAACTATCATATACACATATATATACATGTAGGCTTACATACACAAACACATATATATATATATATATATATATATATATATATATATATATATATATATATATATATATATATATATATATATATATATATATATGCGTGTATGTAAAAGAGAAGAGAAAATGAAGAATTAGTACGTAGAGAATAGTAGGAATGTCAAGATTATAAGAAAAATGGTGAGTTATTGCTTTTTTCGGTCTTCTGGGAGGCGGCGGTAGTATTTAGCCTGCATGCATGGTCTTCTTGGATAACGATATGTCTACAAGACATTTGAGAAAAGTAAACAGAGAGAGAGAAAGAGAGAAAGAGTTGGGTGAGTGAAGTTTGGGAAAGAGAGAAAGAAAAACCAGAAATGCCATTAGATGTAACTGGCTTGAAACGGATATCTCTCTTTATGTCTTCAAACTTTTTTTATCTGACCAGACTCTTTCGCGATGTGCCGGTCTAGATATCTCTCTGTCTGACCGTTTGTCTCTTTATAGGTTTTCATGGAAGTCTTTATTAATTACGTACCAATCAATCTTTTATTTTTTTCCCTATACTCTTAAGAAATAAACCATCCATCATCCTTATTTTTTAAAATTTCATTTTTCTCTCTGTCATGAAATTGATTGATTTGTTTCTTTAAGGCTTGTCAACCTTTTGTGCTTTATTTTGGAATTGTAAGCATAATTCCATTTTTTTTTTCAAGTGAATATCATATTAATAATTTTTGCAAGATAATAATAATTATCAGGTACTTGTCCCAAAATTTAACCGTAGCTGGGGGCAAAAAGAAATGGATTCATACTATTTCCATGGATACTTGAGCGTATGTGTGTTAACTGATTGAATGATTAGTCACTTATGGGTTATCAACCCTTTGAAGGTTCTTTACAGCCAGACAATATTTTTAGATTGTGAGAATTTGTTTTTTAAGATAACTTTTTAGCGAACGATGATAACGTTTATATATATATATATATATATATATATATATATATATATATATATATATATGTATATTTATGTATATTTATATTTATATGTTGGAGCGAGTAGATTAGCGATCAACATAGTGGACTCGGCAGTTTTCAATCTGCTTGTCTGAATGATCTTCAAGAAGCGAGAGCAATATCTAAATCCTCATCCTCACACTTGCTCCATATATGGCCTCCTTTTAAATCCCTAGTGGGTCTTAAATGCCACTTAAGATTATGGCACAAAATTTCATAACTGAATCAACTAAGCTGTCAGATCCTCATACGTCAAAACCGACAGAAGAGTCCATTATATATATATATATATATATATATATATATATATATATATATATATATATATATATATATATATATATATATATATTGTGAGAATTTTTATTTTTTAAGATGATAAAGGTTTAGCGTATTTTTAAGATAAAAAAAGTTTTACTAATGCCATATGTTAGGATAAAAATGTTGGATTCATAACTTTCACAGATTTATTTGAACGTACACCGTTGTGCAAATTAATTGAGGCAACCTCTTTAGTTTACTTTCCTTCATCATACGGTGAGTTTTAGAACCACTGGAGTGACAGGGTGTAATCGGTTTCCATTTTTGGCTAAGATTAAGTCATTTGCAGTGGTGAGCAGTAATAGCGTATATAAATTGTAACACTGCATGAACATACTGGCAAGCTTTACCAGTGAGCAAATCAAAGTACTATAGACTAGCCTGGAAACTTTCCTGATATTAAACTATTCGAAAATCTGTGGTCAGTCTGCAAGGAACGAATTCGTGGAGTGGACATACAATGTATTAACATAGCATTGGATTATGTTTCATTGGAGAAATACAAAGAAAAAAGTAAATAATAACGGATTTATTCGTTTTGCTTCAATTCATTTGCACAAGGGTGTAGATAGATAGATAGATAGATAGATAGATAGATATGAACAGGCTGAGATAGATAGACTGGCCTGGAAACTCTCCTGATTTAAATCCCATCGAGAATCTGTGGTCAATCTGCAAGGAACGACTTCGTGAAATGGACATACGAATTACTACCATGTGCACTGCGTCATGTTTAATTGGAAAAATACAAAGCAAAGTAAATAATAACGGAATTATTGTTTTTTGTTTCAATTAATTCGCCCATGGGTGTAAGTGAACGTAACGTAACGTAAGCGACTGGAAATCTTTCGTCCTGAGCCGTTATACATCGCCGATCCTACAAATCCAAGCCTACAGCACATGGTATTCTCAAGCGCTCATCCATCTAGATACAGAAAAAAAGTCGACCTTTCTTAATTTCGGTGATCAGACAACTGGTGTTTCAACGTGAAATGGCCGTAATCCCATCTGTTATTAGAACTTAGTGCACAAACTAAGATCTTTTGAATGAAGAATATATTATTGGGGACACTTTGTTAAAGAGACACCTCCGTTTACATGACAGAGCAAATATATAACCCCGTTCCTCGACTTTAGCCAGACCATTTGAGAAGAATACGAGCCTTAATAAAACGGAATTCGGTAAACATAGATTTAAACTGTTTACAAAATATATCAAATACATGAGATCAACCCTGATGATTGCGTTTAGCATGGAACAGTTTGTCGCCTCTGAGTGTTGACTTCAATGTTCACTTTTTATATTTACATACGCTCTATCTTTGATATATATATATATATATATATATATATATATATATATATATATATATATATATATATATATATATATATATATATATATATATATATATATATATATATATATATACGTTCTTCTCAGACGTGGGCACCTCTCGGCGTGGTGTAATGGTTAGCAAGCTTGCCGTGTTAGATTAGTTACAACTGAAAAGTGTGTTCTATCCTCACTAGATGCCTCATATTTTCGGCCTTGTGCCACATCTAAGCTATGATTGGAAAATAATTATTCTTCTCAGATGTTCTGGGCGGGGGGGCATATATTTGTACTCTCAAAAAAACAGGTGTTTCTCTTCAACGGAGTGAATTCAATAGCATATCCTACGTTCAAAAGCTCTTAGTTTGTGTACTAAGTTTACATATATATTAAAGACCTTTTTAATGTTTACACGTTCTTTTTATAGATACAAGTATTTATTCAACATTTATTTATTATAAACAGAGCATTCACTTAAATATTTGTATCTATAAAAAGAACGTATATACATGAAAAAATGTCTTAAATAATTGTCGGACTTTGTCTATTTCATACAAATATATATATATATATATATATATATATATATATATATATATATATATATATTGTTGTCAAAAATCTTTCTCATATTAATACTAACAAGAAAACTGAAAATTTTAGTGGACTAGTAGGGTAGAAGGACAGATTGGTACTCAGTCAAAAACTAAAAATAATTTCATTCTGTTTTATGTCTTTCATTTCTGTTGCTTAATCAAGTTAGTAATCAATTTTCTTCTTTTGTATGTCCTTTGTTCATGTTTATCATGTGACTGTTGAAGACGTAATTTTGAAGCTAATTTTAAGGGGGTCGCATCATACACGAGATATAAAATTAGCATGGTGGCCCTAAAATAAACATAATTTTGATAAAACTGATGTTTTACTTAAGTGTATCCAATAATAATGCATGTAATCATCACATATTAGTATCGTATTATAAAATAAAAACATACCGAATATACATCTTTTCCATTGTTTACGTTTAGAAGATGTTTAGCTGTTTATCGTTCGGTTGTTTGGGGTTGTACACGTTTAAATAAAGAGTAGAGCGGTAGTAACGATACTTTTATCATTTTCTATTATTTTGGAATAAAGTAATGGAGTAAAAGAGGTTAATCAGATCAGACCAGAAACAGAATATCGTTACTATATCTGGGCTTGAGCTGCCAAGTTTTCACGCACCTGTTTTGAGTTCCAAAGCTCCAAAACAGCATTGTGAGCGTTGAATCATTTTCCATGCTACTACCTCTTTCTCAACAGGTGAATCATCGCAGAACTCTCGCTATCCTATCGCTATTTGTCATATTTTGACGGGCAATTTATCTTGGATTCACGAGTCCTAACCTTTGCGTCTTAAAACTCATGCCACATATGGAAGAATGAATCGTTCTCGTTCCCTACGTATTCCATTGGTATGGCCAGCTTCTTCTCAAGAATTGCTGCAATTAGAACATACTCCCAACAGTATAGTGATATTCTACACATAAGCACATCACCATCATCTTGCGGCCTCAGCCGAGATTGAACTCACTAATACTTTGATGGTGTAGTTCATAATCTTGTCAAATAGCTGAATTCTTGATGCTTCGCTAGGGCTATCAAGGGTGTTTTTTATCGTGACGCCATCACTAAATGGATTGCCAACCAAGGCTCAGAGAGACTCCATTCACCCTCCGCAGGTTTTGAATTCAGAGTTTTCCTTCTCCTGCTATTTACCTATAGCTGGAGGGAGAAGAAGAGGATTCACACCTTTCCCAAGGGTATTAGCACGTAAGTGAATGTAATGGATTCGACTGGAATTCGAACTCGGCTCTCCGATTCCTCAATCCAAGCCGCTATCCATTACTCCACCGTGCCTCATAGAACAAGGCTGACAGTATGGTGCACCTGCTCATATAAGGTCTATTTAACTCCTTCATTGTATGCAGAACTCTGTTCTTCTTGTGAATCAGAAAAAAAGTTTTAAATACAAAAGGATGAATATATACGTTTCCAAAATAGATACGCTTTTTGTAAGGCAGCTGTTGATATTTTCACGAGTTGATGATGGAATTTTTAACAGTAACCATAGGAACGGTTACAAAATGTCAGCTTTATACGGCTGTGGTGAAAAAAAAAAAAAAAAAAAAAAAATAAATAAAGATTGGAGAACTAGAACAATCTAATGCCCGGTGAACGAAATAAAGGGTTCGAATCGAAATGTCAATCATTTGAAGAAGGCCGGAGCGTACAACGGCCGAAACATCATAAATATTGCAATGAAAATGAGAATAACAGTCCGAATAATGTATATAATGCAAGTAATCACAATACCTCATCTCAGAGATATAGAGGCCCAAACGTTGTGTATATGGCAATGAAGATGAGGATAACAGTCCGAGAAATGGAAATAATGCAAATAATCATAATACCTCATCTCAGACATATATATATATATATATATGAAATCTTTTTCTTTATTTTTTTCCCTTTTCTTTCATTTATTCATTTACCTTTATATAATTTTTATTCACGCTTTCATTATCTTCAAATATTTATATCTATTCCTTAATTTATTTCTTACGAGTATTCAATTGTTTATTTCATTTCTTTTCATTGGGGATTAAATATTTTTCTTTTCTTCACCCATTCTGCTACTGATATATATATATATATATATATATATATATATATATTAAATAACAAAAATACTAAGGAACCTTGGTTTATTTACCTAACCAGTTCTTTCCTATTTTAACACACACACACACACACACATATATATATATATATATATATATATATATATATGCGGTGGAATTCGGTTCAAGAATATAATTCATTCCTGAAGCCCGATTGTAACTCGTATAGTTTCTAAACAGAAACTATTTTTCCAATAGAATTCAATGTAAAATAGATTAATCCTTTCCTGGCACCAAGATGATCGCTTATTTAAACTTTAACAGCAGTACTTTTTGCACAAGTTTACACACAATACTAAGGAAAATCATTAAATGTAAGATAAAATAAAGGCAATAGTAAACAGACAATATATACACAAACAATTTAATTTTACTGAACCTGTAAGTAGGGGAGTTGATAACGTAAATGAAAAGGGGTAGGAAAGAGATGCTATTGTTTGGAAAAGGGAAAGGAAAGACATGATTGTCGCTTTATTTACAAGAATAGTATACATTGAGTAGGAAGAAAGAATATCACCATTATAGAGACAATAACATTAACAATTGTTTTTCTCTTAACTTTTCTTTTTCCCTTACCAGTATCACCGCTAGTATTCTTTGGAGCCATGAATAAAGACTAATAAAGAGATAAAAAGGCACAGAACTATAAAATAGGAAAAGAAAATCACAGCACAACACTACAAACGTATGCAACATGGCGGTCGATTAAGAACTGATTCCGTTTGGGTTAACTCAGTTCGGCTCAGTTCGGCAATGTCGTTCGAGAACCGAAACTTTGTTTGATAACCGAGACATTTTCAATTTCAATATTCTGTTCGAAAACCGATTTGTTCGACATGTGAGAGGTTTGAGAACCGAGGTTGCACTATATATATATATATATATATATATATATATATATATATATATTTGGTTGGATCTATAAAACCAAATATGTTAGCTCTATCTCTGATATTGAGCGCTTTCTAATAAGTACCGCGCATATAATATATAAATAATTATACATACATACATATATATATATATATATATATATATATATATATATATATATTTATATTTATATACACTTTTCTCACACACATATATATATATATATATATATATATATATATATATATATGTCTGCTAATTTTAACAAAAATCTATTCATACTCACGAATAACCTTCCGTAAATTGATGATAATGGATGAGAGAAATGTCTGTAATTTATTCAGATATATATATATATATATATATATATATATATATATATGTGTGTGTGTGTGTGTGTGTGTGTGTGTGTGTGTGTGTGTGTGTGATTGGCCGCTTGTCAATTTGACAGATTGGCTTTTTGAAAAATCATCTTTTTTGCACTAGTCATATCAAA